AAAAAAAAAAAAAAGACATGAAAGCGTTTGCGTTTTTGGACTGTATATATTCCAAGCAAGAAACCTAGACAAGGCTAGATCAATGATACCTGGAGCTTGGCACTCTTGAATATCCTCTAGAAATCGAATGTCGTTGAGCTCGAGGTCACGCGGATGCTGACTGGAAAGCCAAGTGGCTCGCGCGTATGATTAGTGCATCGGGACGTGCATGTCACTGCAAATCCCACCAACCCCTTCTTATTTCGACCTCATACACTTGCTGTTGCTTTTTGGCTTTTTATATAATCAGGGCGGTATCAGCCAATCCGTCCCAAAACACGCCCTCGCTCACTCCTCGTCCACCCGCCCCAGCGCCTGCCCCATCTTGACCTTCTGCCCCTTGTCCACGGCCCACGAGAAGCCGTCGCGCCCGCCCTTGCCCCTCGCCGGCGCCTCGAACACGAGCACGATGGTGCTCCCGAGCTGGAAGCCGCCCATCTCCTCGCCGCGCCGCAGCGCGTGGCCCCTCAGCACGGGGCTGGCCGACTCGTACGTGGCCTCGGAGAAGCCCGAGTAGACCTCCCCGCGGGCCGCCGCCTCCTCGGCCGCCCGGTCGGCCGCCGTGTCGGTCAGGAGGCTGTTTGTGCGCAGCTCGCGGTCGAACCGGACCTTGATGGACCCCACGTTTGTCGCCCCCACGGGCACGTACGAGAAGAAGCCGTAGCGCCAACGCCCGAGCAGCACCACGCGCTCGTTGAGCGTGAACAGGCCCGGGAGCGTGCGCTGCAGGTACGGCGACACGCTGTAGAGCTCGCCCGCAAAGTGCCGCCGCCGCTCCACCACCCAGTTGGTCGGCGAGTGGAAGCGGTGGTAGTCGCCGGGGGCGAGGTACACGACGGCGTAGTAGAGCTTGGTCTTGCGCTGCTCCGACAGCATCGAGTACCACGGCTTCTCCGCCAGCGCCAGGTCCGCGCGCACCTCAGATACCGACGCCGGAGACGGCGCGACAGACTGGTCCTCGGCCTTGTCTCTGCCGTCCCTGCTCGGCTGCGACATGGACGGGCCCGACAGGAGGCCGGGGAGGGTGTAGGGGATGCCGTTGACGCGCGCAAACTCCTCGTCCTGCTTTACAATCTCCTCGTCGTGGCCGAGCTCTGCGGGAGTGCTTGTTCCACTGGACGAGGGCGTGTTGCTGCCCGATGTTGAGGGTGTGTGCTCTCCCAGTAGCGCATCGATGCTGTACGTCATGCCCTTGACCTGCTCAATGGCGCCGCCCTCGATCTGGCCAAACTGCAGCACGCGGCCGTCGGCGGGTGACAGCAACACGTGCGGGTCCGGGTCGAGTGGCCGTGCCCCGGGCTTTAGTGTGCGGTAGAAGAAGGAGGCCAGGTTTGGGAAGTTGTGCAGATCTAGCTCCTCGACTTCATCCAGACTGTTGTTTAGGCACGTTAGCCATCTGCCGGGGGGCTTCCCAACCCAGTCTCAGCCATTAGCGGCAACGTACTTGACACCGAATATGAACGAGTAGAGCTTGAATCCGGGAACCCTCAGGTAGTAGGGGATGGTGAGCTCGTTGAAGCGGCCCCATAATCTCGAGACGGCCTTGAGAGGAAGTGTCGACATGATCTGGACCTGCCTGCCATATACAGTCAGCAAAGACTCGACGGCGCATGCGCACATGTAGCTGCCTCAGGGGTCGCCCGCTCACCAGGGACCGTCAGGCCTCACACGCTGCCGCTTAGGGGATGGGGACCCATCGGCGCCCTCGAGCTCGGCGCGCTCCTTTTCCCTCTGGGATACGCGGTAGAACTGAACAAGACCGAGGAAGCCAATGCCGACGCCAACGGGTATGTTATACCAAGTGACCTTGGAGTTCTTGAGGGCCTCGCGCAGGCGGTGCGAAAAGCGTGGGCGCTTGGGGGTCTCGTGGGAGGAGTAGTGGCGCGCTGTCGGTCGCCTCGTCGGGGATAGGGAGGAGGCGCCGCAGCGGCCTGCATGCCTGTACAGCAGCCTTGCTTGCGGCATCTTGCTGGCGGCTGCGATCGAGGCCATGGTGGTGGGTTGTCGGCACTCAGGGGAAGGTGGAAAATATCAGGCGGGGGGATTCGCTCTTCAGGCCATTTACTGAACCTGTGGTCTCCCGCCGAGCTTGGGGAACGAGCTTTCTAAAAAATAAAAATAAAAAATGCCAGCCACCCTGGCGCGGCAATGTAGCTCTGTTCAATTGGGTCGGCGATGGTTAGCAGCCGCCTGAGGTGCGCGGGCTGGAAACGTCGAAGCTGGAACAGCTGCACACTTTGGTGTTCGCGACTGATGACGCAGGTGGGTGGGAATGGGTTAATTGGAATTAGTGGGGCCAGTGCCAGGCAGCATCTCATGGACCCTGCAATAGATGTCTTTTAAACCGGCACATTATCACAACGGAAAGCTGTGACAAGAAAAAGGCGCAAAAGCATCCTTTTGCATTTGAAACAAAAATACGGATTGTGTTTGTTACTGCTAGTAGCATAGTATGGTTAAATTTCATGTTTCGTGGCGTTTGGGTATAGGAAATCTAAAAGGTGAAAGATGACACGAGCCTGGTAACATGATTCCTACGCTCCCGTTGCGCAGCCTGATCAACACCGTCAAGAGAGAGGCCCAGAGACGGACGAGCTGCGCAGTCAGGCATCGGCAGGCATCCTCTTCACGATGGCATCCCGGAGTCCTTCGATACTCTCCACCATTTCAACACCATACCTCTGGCACACCATCTGCACATTCCCTCGCTTCCAGTAGCCCTCGGGGCAGCACACGATGGCCTTCCCCGGCACTCGCGCGCAAAGGCCGAGCTCGAGCAGGCTGATGGGCGCCTGGGTGGCCGGGTGGAAGTACACGACTATCGTGTCAACCTTCTCTTGCATGTCGAGCTCCCACTCCACCTGCTGGCGATAAGGCGCGAAGTCGACGTCTTCGCGCCACGTGCTGTCCCAGTCTGGGCGGTATGGATTGTAGATTGTGATGGTGGTTTCGGAAAGCAGTGAGGATAGCGTCTCCCGCCAGTCAGTGGTGTCGACTCTGCTCGTGGTGCCGGCGAGGAAGACGGATCGGACCCCACGTGGAGCCTCCTCCGAAGGCGCGTGTATGACTTGGCTTCGCTGCTGAGCCATGCTTGAGAACGAAAAGGCGCGTGCCCGGATCCGTTGAGCGTTTGAAATGGCGGCAACTCGCAACATGGGTCCCAGGGATGTGGTTTGGGCTTGAGAGCAGAGCAGGGAGCGAGCTTGGTGGTGGTTGTGTCTAAAGGACCCACAATTTGCGGGAGCCAGGTGGTCTGAGCTCGCCGAGATAACTGACCTGGCCTGGCACCGCGAGCTGGCATTGAGCCTATGGTCTCCACACCAGCGCCCGTGGCCTCAGCTCAGGTCCAGGAAAGGTGTCCAAACTGTGGGCTGAATCCATTGTTTGCCGGCTCATCCGCTGGCTGTTATTTGGCTTTGTTTGCTGGCTTTTTCAAAACTGGACTCTTGCCACGCCGCAATTCCTTCCGAAGCTTCCGAATCCACCGAATTGCCAACTCGCTGCAATCCCTGGTTTGCCTTCAGCCTTCCAATCCCTTGGTGGGGGAGCATTGGGGAGGTGCCCATGGTTACCTTGCCTGACATCACTCAGAACCCGCAGTAGGGCGCGCCCCTGTCTCCGTTTGCTCCAACGGCCAGGTGAAAAGGCTCGGACAGCCTTCGATCGCTGCCACAGCACAACACAAGTCTACCATCCACGAAATCGCAACGCAACGCGCAATCCGCCATGGCCGACGCCGAGGAGCCCAGGGCGCCTGCCCCTGTGCCCGCCACCATCTCGGTCGAAATCGTGTCGCCCTCGGCCGGCGTCCCCGTCCCGCTGCTATTCCCGGACCTGTCCATCAAGACGACGGTAGCGCAGCTCAAGGACATGGTCCGCCAGCAGCTAACGGTCCCCGACCCGACCGCAGTCGATCTGCGCGTCATCTACCAGGGCAAGATGCTGGCGCCGCCCGAGCTGACCCTGGAGGCCGTCCTTGGCCACGACGCGGTAGGTGCCTCCGGCTCCCTGCGCACACTAACTTTGTCTAACGCGCATTGCCGAAACCAGATGGGCGAATCCCGCAAACGTGTCTTCCACGTCGTGGCCAACACATCGGCTCGAGTCCCAGCCGTCCCCTACGTCGCCCCAGACCCAAACGCACCCCCACCACCACCGACACCAGCCGCACAGCTCGAGGCCATCCGCCGTCGTCATATGGCTACACACAACCAGCTCCTAGCTGCCAACCAGCGGGCTCGGGCAGCCCTAAACCTCAACGGCATCCAGGACCAACCAGCCCCTGCAATGAACCACTCAACAACGACCACTACCACGACCATGAGAATCATCTCCCCCGGCGGCAACCCCGCCGAGCAGGGGTTTGCAGCACCACTCCCCGAGATGCTTGGAGCGGCGGCTACGGAAGCGGTTCTCAACAGACATTTGCAAGCCCTCCGTAGTCATCTCGACACTCTCCGTACCTATCAAGGTACCTATCAAGACGTGCAACCCGGGTCCACGCAGGCCATGGCTGGCAGCAGCGCAAACGGTCCGTCGCAACAGGGAGCAGCACCGCAAACGCAGCACCAGCACCAGCACCAGCACCAGCAGCCCTCGGGAAATCAGGCCCAAACGGCGGGACCCCAGGTCTACCTCCTCAGCTCGCCCGTGGGTCTTGAGGCCATACTTGTTCACAATAACGGGAGTGCCTACATTTCTTCGTCGTCGGGGCTGGCCTCGGGCGTAGATCTAGGCTCTGTGCAAGCCCGACCGACGGCCGCTCAACCCACAGGCCTTGGGGCTCCCGGACATGTGGCAGGCCAACTGCCAGAGGAGACGGCGCATCAAGTGATTGACCGTTGGCGCGAAAATGGACGGCGGCGGCACGAGGCCCAGGTGGAGGCCTGGCGGGCCTACCAGCAGATGATAAACACACCCCATTACCAGCGGCTGCACAACCAGGTCCGGGCGCAGCGGGGGCGCGGCGCGCGGATCCCCCGCGGCGGCGGCCTCCTCGGCGGCCACCACCAGAACGGCCAGGCGGCGGGTGCGCTCGCGGCGGCAATCTGGCCGCACCTCTGGCTGATGATCCGGATGGGCATCTTCATTTACTGGTTCCGGTTCCTGCACAGCGAGTCGTCGTGGGAGCGCTGGTTCAGCGTGCTTGGCATCGTGCTCGTCGTGGTCGTCATCAACACGGGCATGCTGAACGGCCTCGTCGACCAGGCATGGCAGCCGGTCCGCGAGCACCTGGATCACCTCATGCCTATGGGCCCTGGCGCGGGCGCCCAAGCGGGGGCAGACGCGGCTGCGCCGGGACAGCCACAGCAGAACGCCAACGGCGACAACGGCGCCCCACGGGCTCCTGCGGCCGAACCGAATCCTGCCGAGGCGGCAGCGAGGATGGTGGCGGCGCGCAGGGATGCGAACGCCAACTGGCTCCTGGACCAGGTCCGCCGGGTGGAGCGTGCGGGTCTACTCTTCCTCGCCAGCATAGCCCCTGGCATTGCTGAGCGTCACATCGCGCATCTCGAGGAGGAAGCCAGGGCCGAGCGCCGGAGGCAGGAGGAGGCGGCGGCGGCGGCGGCGGCGGCGGCGGCACAGGCCGAGGCGGCAGCTGCCGAGGCGACCGCAGCTGAAGCTGGCGCTACTGCCGAGACGGAGGCTTCCGGTGGACAGGCCGCTGCCGAGACCAAGGTTGATGTGGGCGAACCTGCTCCAGCCGAAGGTGTCTCACAAACGGTGGAGGGTGGTTCGGGAGGTGGCGTCAGCGGCGGGGGCGATGCAGTTCCCCGTGGCGAGTAGCAACAGCCGCAGGACGATGGGAATCCGTACAGCGACTTTTTCAGGCGTATTTGGAGAGACTTGGTAGATGTCGCGAGACGTGTGTAGATGGATGACTGTGCCTGGCCTGTTTTATAAGCTACTGCTGCTATCATATATGTACTACTACTGCAATAGCTCATCCCTTTTTGTGAAGGCAGTGAAAGCATGTGGTGGCAAGGGCTCCTCCAGGCAGTCAGGCAGTGTCAGGGGCTCCCAGCCTATGCCGGCTAGCGCATTTTGTCGGCTCTGTGCCATGGGGAAAAGTGGGGGACCTTGAGCTCCAGACCTCGGCATCCCGCTTTCTAGCCCCTGTAAATCAAGCACCCTTGGACGGATCCACAGTCTCCTTTCTGGGGAAAAAGACGGACTGTTTGGGAGGCGAGGATGAGATAGAAAGCTGGGAACTCGGAAGCAATGTTTTCTTTACTTGTCTCCACAACCTGCTCATCTCATCTTGGCCAGACTGCTTTGACGTTGACGCAAGCCGTTATGTAGAGAGAGCCGTTGGACAAAAGACCCAGAACCCCGTCAGTCAGCCTCGGCTGTTGCTCTGTCGCAACCTCTCTCTCTCTCTCTCTCTCTCTCACTTTCTTCTCTCCCTCACAAGCCACCACCCATCATTCTACACAAACACCAACCCACAATGTCGGAAGCGCACCTCAACAACTTCCCCACCCTCTTCTCCGTCGCCGGCAAGGTCTGCGTCGTGACGGGCGGCTCGCGCGGGCTCGGCCTCAGCGCCGCGTCGGCGCTGCTGCAGGCCGGCGCGTCCAAGGTCTTCATCTCGTCGCGCAAGGCCGCCGCCTGCGAGGCCGCCTGCGCGGCCCTCAACGCCCTTCCCGGCCTCGCCCCGGGCGCCGTCGCCATCCCGGCGCCCGCCGACTCGGCCACCGAGGACGGCGTGCGCGCACTGCTGGAGACGGTCAAGAAGAACCTGGGCGGCGGCGGCGGCGGCGCCAAGGGCCGCGTCGACGTGCTGCTCGCCAACGCGGGCGCGTCGTGGGGCGAGGCGCTCGACACGCACCCGGACTCGGCGTTTGCAAAGGTCATGGATCTGAACGTGCGCGCGGTTTTCAACACGGTCAAGCTGTTTGCGCCGCTGATGCAGCGTGGTGGGCAGGAGGCGCTGGATGACCCGGCGCGGGTTATTATTACCGGCAGCGTGGCTGGGCTGAGCGTCGGGACGCTTGGGAAGCAGGGGACCGTACGTATATATCACCACACACACACCACCCCCCCC